TAGGATCTCTGTCGAGTCGCTGATGATACTCCAGTGTGCTTTCACTGGTGGTTCTTTTCGTGAATTTTTCACAAGTTCTATTTATGTCCTGGACTGTGGTCCAGGGGTGTTTATTTGTTTCCTCACTTTTTTGTGAGAAGTTTATTTCCTTCAGCAAGTCCATCTGTTCGCTGATTTTTTCAGTCAACACGTCGATTGCATTGGCCATTCTTTCTAGAGTTATCTCTAGACGAGCCGTACTATTGTGGTTCATTTCCTTGATCTTTTTTTGGATCGAGTTTATTGTGTTTATTATGCGCGATTCCTGGTTTTCCAGGAGGAAGTTTGGTTGGGTGAGCAGTGACTCTCCCCAGTTGACATTACTGCTTCTGGGGGTTCCAGAAGGGGTTCTTGGAGTGAACACTCCACGCTCGCTTTGTTTAGGCGAGGCTATTGTGGAGGGTGCTTCCCTTTCATAGAGGGGTCTGTTCGCTGGTTTTTCCTTACTTTTCCATAAGGCTTCCTCAGCGAACTCCCTCATTTCAGTTCACCTCCTCTTCATTATCTCGGAGACCTCCTCCGAGGTTGGCGACCTTGCCTTGTCTGGCATGGCATGGGGGAGTGTAAACAGCGGAAGTTCTTTTGGAGCTTCCGTGCTCTGGGAGATCCTGCTCTCCGGGCGTATCTTCACGCCTTCTCAGGCTGAAAGCCTGAGAAGAAGTTGGTCTTCGCTTTCCGTCCTCCATTCGGACAGAACCTGGAACAAGTCCAGTAGTTTTTCGGATAGCTGATGCGGGGGCTCTTCCCTTTGTTTCCCTTTGTCTGCCTTTGGGGCTTGACTTGGGGACATGAGGGGGGACTCCAGGGGATAGTTGGGCCCTGGAGTTCCCTGCTACTCTATCCAATCAGCTTTTTGGGCTGATCATTGGGCGCTTATGCGTTTATCGCGCAAGTCAATCACCTCATGAGGAGGTGAAGGATCTTCCCCAGCTTGGGTTAGATCGGTATGTCGTGGAGTTCTAGGGGTATTAGGCCCTGCACTTACTCCACGTAAGTTTCTAAAACCTTCAGGGGCCAGCCCTGAGCTGGTTGCTAATGCCGGATCGTGTTGATCCTCATTGTCATCTGATGATGGCTTTTGGTTTGAATCTCCCATGATTTTTAGTGTCGCTGCAGATGCGACCTTGCCCTTGCAGGCGTGTTTAGGTGCCATAGGCGCTGCCGAGTCAGATGTTAAGATTGGATAGTTTTTGTGGGTTGTGTTGTAAAACACACCTCATACACTTAAAAAAGTGTGAGGTCTGGGGGTAGCTCAGCACACAGAGCCATAAGTGATACAAATGTGTGTATTTTACGGTAGTGTGTAAGCAGTTACCCAGAGGTTCCTGCTTACCCATGTGACTATATGTATCTAATTACATGTGGCTCAGGGTTCGGGGCTATTGCCCTGACACCAGGGTAGAAGCTGCCATAGCTGAGTCCTCTCCTGGGCACACTCTCATGCTTGGGGTAGTGCTCCTTCCAGGCCAAGTGTTGGTGGATTGGGCATACATGGTAAGAGTGGTCAATGGCTTTGCATGTGTGGCAGATCCTTTGTCTCAACAGTGCTGTGCCAGCTTGGGTCCACTTGCTGACGAAGGTTGCTGTCATGAGAAGATGGATCTATTTATTGTGAAGTGAGTCCTGGGTGTCTTTGAGAGTGTTAAAGGGGGGTTGTGCATGTATCTCCCACATGGTCACCATGCTGTCAGATGTAGGGTTTCTTTTTTCGTTGGCATTTCGTGCCATGTCCTTGCATTTCAGGGCATATCCTCTTGGGATGGCTTGTACGCTGTCAACAATGTCCAACATTTGGTCAGTCATCATATCTACTTCTGTGAGGAAGGGGACAAAGGATCCTTTTGGGTCTGCAATCGTATCTTGGATGGCTGTGACTATGTGGGTTTCATCTTTCAGTCTTTTGCTCATGCCAATCATGGATGTTACGAGGGTTGTGGGTCTGAGTTTAAGGTCAATAGCAATGAATCCAAAGGCCTGACAGATTACCTTGCTTGCAAGGTCACTTCCAACCCCACAATTGCGGTGGGAATTATGCAGTTTTCAGCTGTGAATTGATTCCAATCACGTGCTTGTGTCACATGCTGTGTTTCCATTCAATAACAACAACATGCTTGTGTCACTCGTGTCACATGAGCATCATTCAATCTTTCTGCTTTCATTAGAGGCTTGTTCGTTGTACCAGTGCAGTGTATACCCATTGATTCAACAACACCTACACATCCTTCTCCTCTTATATCTATTTCAACATCAACAATCACCGAAATGCCCTGATTTCCACGCTTCCGTTGTCTGTTTATTCAACTCTTCCATCCGTAAGTCTGCCAGCTTTAGGCATCACACACAGGCTGTGTGAATAAAGATTCATCAAAACCCCGTAAAAGTCATATGGTATCCCTGCCTGAGCTCCGTGATAGTGCAACATATGCACTGAATGGTGTCAGTGCCCTGCTGGGGGGAGTTGCAAGGTCAATTATGGCATGCTCTATTGTTTGCCCTTGGGCATGATAGTCTGTGAAAGCGTATGCTCCAGTGATCGGTAGTTGTCTCCGTTTCACTGATTTCACTTTCCCTCCTGGGGCCTTGAGCTGATACATTCGCTCCTCAGGGAAAATGGGGACTACCCCTGGTGGCAAGTCTGCCACCTGGATTTGATCTCGACTTTCCAGCCTCATGAGAATGCAGGATGGTGGGTAACGCAGTGACACTCTAGGGCCCTGGCTAATTGTATGATCCTCCCTAGTATCAAGAATGATATCCACGACTTCACCACATGTGCCGTTTGCAATGTTTTTGTCTGTGTTTATGTTTGACGTAACCATGACCTTTGCACCAATTGCAAATTGAATAACATCAGGAAGCTTCATGCTGTCGAGAATCACCTTGTTCTTGTCTCTTGTTTGCTTTGTTTGCATGGGTCAAATCCACCTCTGGCAGAGGTCTAGAGGCCATCTTTTGATGGTATCCTGGGCTTCACAGGAAAATAGAGGCCGGCGGGTCCGTTTGCAATAATTTTCCAGAGCGACTGTATTCCATGCTTCACGGACCCCATGTCGAGGCATCACTAGCCTTGCATAGCCCCAGGGTGAGTTGACAAAGTCTGGTGAAGGATCCTCCCTTGACGATAGGATGAGCCTTTTCAATAGAGACAGATGTCGCTGATTGCAAGTTCCATAGCGACAGTGCCAAAGTAGTTCGATCCATTCTGGATCTGACACTCACATTTGTTCTTTCAAAATCACGATGATTTGGAATTTCGCGAAAATGCTACTTCCTAATGCGGCCTCTGGAGAATCGGAAACTGACGGTGGCCAGTATAATGGAGCAGTCCTCCCCTCACTGACTGGGGGAAATTGGTGGAAATCGCCACACAGAATAATGTTTAATCCTCCAAATGGTGCGTCTTGTCTAATTCCGTGTACCTCTGTCATAACTATGCAAAGAACTGATGACAGTTTCGCAAGGAACTTCCGTGAAAGCATTGAGCATTTGTCAATGATCAAGTATCGCCATGCTCGCCATTCTTTAGCTAATTCTGTGATCTTTTGACTCATTAGTGCTCTATTGCCCACTGGAATATGAGCCAAGTTGTGCAGTGTCCAGCCTCCGATATGGCATGCTGCAATCCCAGTGTAAGCACCTTTGGCGAGCATGTCAGAACAACCGTTTGCTTCAAACAAGCTGGTGACAGTGCGAATGACCACAGATTTCCCAGTCCCCCCTTCGCCCAAAAGCAGCATCAAAAGTTGGTCCTTATGAACTCCTTTCATCACATCTATGCTGTGAGCCGATATGATGTCAACTGCTCTCTTTTGATCAGCTCGAAGCTGAAGTGAATCATCCTCGTGTCAGGTTGCAACCTGAGTGCTACCAGTCAGGAGTTGTACACTGCCTTGGGAATTGGCTGAGTTCGTTCCGGACATGATGTTTACAGAGCCAAGGGATTCTGGTGTGCATATGTCTTGCTCTGCATGTGTAGCGGGTTGGTCTGTTAATGCTGATTTCCATATAGCTAGTCTCTCTCCATTGCCAACAGCAACGCAATTCTCGACATCGATTTCCCATCCTCCACAGTGCATCCCAAAAACATTGGCAGCCTTTGTGTCATATCCATACAATTCCGACCTCTGCTCTGGGCTCCCGGAACTCTGAACTCCGACTTCCGGAGCCCTACTTCCCTTCCATCACCTTCTCCTTGCCAACTCCCAAGAGGTTATCCCACCTCCGGCTCGGACACCACCTTCGGTCCGACTCCGGAACATTCCGGGTCTGACCCCAACCACGACACCTTCCAGACGAGTACGCAAAACCTATGCTCCCGACTCCGGACCTCCGCTCCGGAATCCCGTTCGCGTCTCTGTCTCCGGAACCTCCGGTCTTAGCTCCGACCTCAGACTTTGACCCCACCTCCGCTTATACCCATTGTATTGGTTAGCTCATTCCATTTAATTACCTTTGCCAATATTCTGGAGTTTAACTTCCGAGTTCGGACTTTCCGGACTTACCTCGGACCTTGCAACTATTGCATTGTCCTATTCAATTCCGCTATTCTCCCTCATTCCTATTTGGGCTACTGCTTCCTTTCTATTCAGTCAGCTAGCCATTCCCCACTCCCATCCTCCTTCCTTCCTCCTTGGGCCTTGGCCCTTCATTCCTCCTTTGAGAAACACCATTGAGTCAAACCCTTGACCCTCGGTGTTGTTCCTCTTTCCATCTCCCTTTGTCTCCTTTCGTCCTACCCTCGCTCCTTTTGATTCCAGACCCCTCCTTATATACAATGTACATAGTAACTTGTAACCTCAGTCCAAAATCGACCTGAATTCCCCCCAAGAGACTTTCCCTCTGCTAGATCCGAAATTAGGACAACCAGCAATGGCACAGCGCTCCACCTGAGTCGCTGAGGCCGAGGTCCTTCCACGCTAAGTCTCCGATTCCACTCTGGAGTCGTCCGAACCCGCCCGGTTCTAACACTTTGCACACTCGACAGCATGCAAACCATGAATAACCTCATGTGTAGGTTGTTGGTTACGAATGAAAGCCTCAAGATCCTCTTCGCTGAGCTTGCCAACTGGGCCTTTATTGCTCTCACCCACTTCTTCACCACCATCAGAATCATCATCCACATCAATGGAAGGCTTAGTTCCCATTCTAGGTGCCTGTGATCGATTTGCTGCTTCCTTGCAATCATAGTAGAACTGCGCGTTTGCGATCATAGTGACTTTGTCATGTCCTGCTGTCTGCAGGAATAAATCGTAAGCATCTTCCCATGTTTGCTCCGGTGTTTTGAGAGTGCTGATATCCCGCCATGGTTTGAGGAGGCACAGAATAGAAGCTCTGTGCACATCTGCCTGCTCAGGATCGTCTGAAGAAGGAATCCACTTCCCAACAATATTGGTGATGGTACGATGACCTTTTGTGCATACAACGCATATGTGAGTTCCATTCTTTGGATGCTTAGCATGGTACCCACTACGTGGGTTTGCAGGTCTTCCAACTTGCTTAGCAGATCCACTTTGAGTTCCACGGAGTATGGACTTGTTGTCATGGTTTTCAGGGGTCTTGTAAGTATCCGAGATAAATTCAAGGAGGGACAAGTCTTCCAGCTCATCACCTCTCAAGGTGTAGTCATCTGCCTGCGACCTTGTCACCAAGGTCCCATCGGAGGTAACACCCAATGTCAAGAGCTCGATGTCTTCGTCTGAGCTTGGAGAATCCTTAGTTACTTCTGACTCTGCAGATGGGGGAAGTTCCTTGCTGGCTTCTGTGTAAGCATGTCGCATCATTGCCATTGCTTTGTGTGGCCTCAACTGTTGACCCTTGATCGCATGGAGGTTGGCTAATAATTAACGGGTTTGTCAAAGATTTTACTTCAACCTTTATCATTCCACTTACCATGATGTGTATCGTAGCTCAGGCCATTGACGCAGTATCAGGCACGAAAATGAGGTCCAGTATAACGGAACATAGTAGTGGGATTTGAATGTATCGCCCCAACCCATAAGGTATGCCATCACCTGAGGTCCTGACTGCTGCATGTCCCTATTGAGCGAATTTATGCAACGGAACACCAGTTTACGGTTTTGATCACGGATACTACTGATATGCTCGTCCTTGGTGAAGTGGTAAGTGAGCCTCTGTGCCAATAGTGCCGAGCTGTTTGCTAACTTTGTCTGGGCTTTTGTTGCGTACTTGGTGATGTACTAGCAAACATTCTTTTATCTTCCCCATTGGTGAGGAGCTTAATATCATGGTTGCACCGCATGAAAACCAGGAGGTGAGGATTATAATTGTTCACATAGCCATATGTGCGTTGGGTCTTCCAGTTGCCACTTTCGTCTACTACAGCACTATCAGGTAAGAGAAATGGTGCTCCACGTTTACATCACAGTTTGTGAGTGTTCCAATCTTCATGAAGGCATAGGTTGGCTTTACATGTGTGGATTTGACAGGAATGCATCAACCGTCTTTCCAGTGCAATGGCGAGGTTGTGGAAATCAGATTGGTAAGGATGAGGAGGGCAACAAAATGCGATGTCCTTTTCATGTTCCATTGCCTTCATCGTGTGCTCATCCATACCAGGAAGGTGGGCCCAGATGTTTGCCTCTATGTATGCTTTCATTTTGCTGCGGAAATCTTCTGAATGGAATTTTCTTGAAGCTTGTCTGCACTTGGCGCATTTTGTAACCAGATTATCATGTGAAGATGCAGAGTCCCTCGGTTTTGACACTGGACGATGCCGATATATGCTTGGATATAACCCAGTATACGGCATTTTCGTTTAATGTGGTGCTGTGCAACGGATATCCCCAGCAGTGTGCTCAACATTGTTTGAATCATGAATTGGAAAAACTTTGCTGCAGCGTAGGGATCACTTGCAATTGCCCGCTCGTGTTCGATCGAGTTGCTCATGACTTTGTCTAGGGCCTCCAAATCAATCTCCTTCCCTACGAATAGTTGTGCCAGTGGATCATGAATATCACTTGGGTTGACAGTCAGCCAGATGCTAGGAGGTCCGTGCTTCAGTGTCGTGCTCCACACTTGGCTGCGAATTGCTGCACGGGATGAGTCTGTCCCCATTATGCGACTTGCGGACACTCGGACATGTTTCATTAGCCGCTGTACCCTGGGGTTTGAGATTTTGATACCCTGGGCCTCTTCACAACTTGCAGCTTTCAAGTCATCGATGGTTACCCCAGAGAGCATAGCTGTGTCAGTGACAAAATCCATCCTTCCCATCTGAATTTATGCAGAGGCCAATTCCTGACGTCTCTGCTCAATATGGAATGCCACGAATGGAAACAAGTGGTGAGTATGGAACCGGCGTGAATGATGCTGAAGGCAGCAACCAATATGTTCCATGAATGACACCTTGACTGGACAGTGCTCTTCAATCCCACCTTCTCCATATGGGAACAGGACTGGGAAAGCCAATGCCCAAAAATTGAATTTGGGTATGTGATAACGAGGGTCTGATGGCACTTCGTTGACTCGCTGTTTTCCAAAGTCGTTTACCAACTTCCACCCATGTCAAACAGCGTATGGCTGCTCTGTCTGGGATTCTTTGGACAGGTTGGTGAGTCCCTCTTCAAGTAGATCGGATGTGGATACTGCTGTGAGCTCGGTTTGGCTACTGCCAATATACTGTAACGGAACAACATCCCCTTCATCTAACATTCTGGTAAGAAATATTGAGCATCAGACACACCATACTGCTTGTTAGGTGGTTCAGCCCCCTCACTAACGTTGCCATAGTCATCACTGACTATACCAAACAAGAAGGTGAGATTCAAGCATATATGATTCGTGCTGTAAACTCACAATCACCGGGCACATAGGAGTCATGCTCCCGAAGCAGAATATGGGAACTTGTCTCTTGACGCATGCTAGCCAATATCTCAAGAGGCACATCGTCTTCGGGTAAAGACGCCATTACTGCTTGGTCTACTGTATACTCGGAGAAGCATTTATTATGCTCAATCAACCATTCAAGCACCTCCAACACTACCCTTCTCCAAATGCGAAATGATGCTTTGGGAGATTGCTGACTCCAACATACGTTACTGATATAATCGAGGGAAGTATCTCCATCGGCTGTGGCAACATGTGTCCTTGGAGCATACTGAAAATTTCGTCGGTGTTCATAGGGTAACTTGTCACATTTCCATGCAAGCCTGACTGTAAGCATGTGGGATCATCCCGGGCTCCACCTTTGGGGTACATTTTGAAAATGAAACAGTGGGGATAAATGAGCAAAAGTAAGAGCTGTTCAGGAATTGTGAGGCAAGAGAGCTGATGAGGTATATTGCCTATCCACATTTTGTTTGATAGGAATACCACGGTATTTTATCGCGATGAAGATCTTGAAGACAGGCTCCACACAACATCGCACTACATTTCCCTTTGACCTCAATGACTCCCTTCTCCTCTAGTAGCATGCCAGCAATAAGGACCTGAGCGGGATGTCTGTCCTGATCTGCTGGTTGTAAACGGCCCGCATTTGGAATATTCCTGACATTGACCACACTGCACTCGTGTTCCCAGCAGAGTTGTGCACATACAGCGCAAACAGCCTCTTGAACTGCTGACGGCGAGATAGCTTGTAGGAACTCTGCTTGGCAATCTCGAAGCTCATTCTGGGTGGTATATGGAGGAACTCAGGAGAGGTAGTGATGTGATTATCGTTGACTATGGAGGGGAGTGTTATTTCATCTGACTTGTCCATGGTATCATCACCGTTGATGCTGGCACTTGGTCCAGAGTTCTTCATTTTCTTCCTTGGTCCTTGAACTGGTGAGTCTGATTTTCTCTTATTTGGCAAAGCTGCATTCTTTTTGCAATCACGACGTTGCTCAAAGATAACTCAAGCATCCTCATGAAAGGTTTGGATCAAAGACACCATCTTCTTGCACTTCCTTCGAGCTGCATCTGACACGTAGATCTGATACTCTTTGCAGATTGCAATGATTTCTGCCAGTGTCAATGGCGAAAGCCAGTCCGTCATTGTGTAGTTGAAGAGTTGCCCCAACGACTAAGTGCCAAGTGAGTAACTATGCCAATGAATGTCTATCGGATCAGTCGCTTTCGACAATGTTCTCTGACAGGTCCATTCTCTCATATCCGCATCTGGACTAGTTTCCACTAATGCAATTGATGCTTCAACAAATTCCTGAAACCTATCATTCATAGTTATTAGTTTATTCACCAACACAATCAAGGCTACCATTCAGGTACGTCACTTACAAATCTCTTCTATAATGTTCTCTGACAGCTTTCATCCTGATTTTGACTAGTTTCCTCCCACCATACTTTGTACCGGGTCCATCACTAGTACAATTCAGTCTTGACAATGCTTTGACTGATTCCGAACACCTGTCATTCACAGTTATTAGTTTATTCAAGGCACATTTGTGGCAACATCAGGTCTGTCACTTATATAATCTCCTCTATGATGTTCTCTGACAGGACCGCTCGGTTTCATCCCAATTTTTACTGTTTCCTCCCACCGTACTTTATACCAGTTCCATCACTACTGCGATTCACAATAGCCCCGAACCCTGAGTCTGATGTAACAACAGTGTACATAGAGTCATGTGGCTAAGCGGCAACTTCCAGTTACTGCTTAACACCATGATAATCATACACACCATTGTTGTCATATCCATACAACTCCGGACCTCCACTCCTGTTTCTGGACCTCCATCTCCTCCTCCAGAACTCCACATCCTCCACCTCCTCCCCCTGTTGGTTGTTGAGAGCCCACTCTACCTCTGGCTCCAACACAACATCCAACACTACCTCCGGTCCAACTCCGGTTTACTCCGGGTCCAATCCCAACCTCATACCTCCAGCTCCGGACTCCTGTACTGGAACCCCATCACACCTCCACCTCTGGAACTCCAGTCACATCTCCGCCTCCAGACTTTGACCTCCTCCTCTGTCTTATCTCCTTGTACAGTTATTCACCCCCGAATGAGACACACCCCCAAATGAGAAACAATCACCTAACTTGTTCAGTTCTTTATCATATGTGGTGAGATTCGGCATGGATATAGGTGGTTGCTAGGACTACTCATGTACCAAATTTGGTGTCAAGCAGGCATGAAATAAAGGAAAAAATCGGTGAAACATGAGAAACTTGAATGCGAAGAGTCACCATGTTTGCAACTTAACCACCCCAGCCTCATGTTGCAGCCTTCATCTCACCAACAGCCATCCATGTAGGCAGTGGGCAAAAGGCCAGTGTTATTTGTGTTAGGGTTTGTATGGAACCTAAGTCAGAAGCATAATTTTCATCCGTGTTACCCAAACAATCAAAAAGTTAATCACCAATCCTGCCTCTCCTGGAGCCAATATTGCCTTGCTTGCTTGTTTTGTCAAATGGCCCAGCATGCGGACTCCTTAGAGCGCTGTAGGCATCTTGCAGCTGAGGCAACAGAGCTGCACATGCAGAAAACCCTGACTTCATACAGAACTGAGATTCTATGTGCAAAGCAGAAGGGTGAAAAAGCGGCCAGTGCTCGGGAACATGCTTCCAATTGTGGAGTGTCCTATCCAACATTCATGCAGAGGCTCAATGGTGGGAAAAGTCACCTTGAAGCCTCAATAAACCAGTCATGGTTGAATCAGGTGGAGAGTGATACACTTGTAGACTTTCTTCTTCTTATGTCCAACCATGGATTCCCAGCAACCCGCGATCATGTAATTGAGTATGCATTGGAAGTTGCCCAGATATGGCACCCATCCCTCACCAAGCTTAGCAAAAATTGGGTTGATGGGTTTTTAGTATGCAACAAAGACTGACTTCAACCCAAGTGGAGTGCCAATCTCGAAAGTACTTGGGGCAGTGCTGTAAATCCAACAGCTGTCCAACACTGGTTCCAACTATTACAAGCTCAGTATAATCATTTCAATTTCCGACATGAGGATGTCTATGCTATGGATGAGAGTGGCTTCCCGTTTGGGACTGGGGAAAGGGTCAAGGTCTTTGCATGCAGGATGACAAAAAGGGCACACATTCAACACGATGGGAATCTGTCAGGGCTCGGTCCTCGATCAGGGACAGCCCGACCTCAGTCCTAGGTGTGCGCGGTGTTCCAGGTGGTTGGGCGCTAGACCCTGTCCTCAGCTCCTCAAACTCACTGAAGGGACTAAGCGGGGATTGAGTTGTCATGTATTACAGAGGGTAACTACAACTTGCCTAAGCGGGGATTGAGTTGAGAAGAAGGGTAAGTTTCCCTATTCCCCGCTTGGCTACTATAAAAAGGAAGTGTACTGTACAGTTCATAACGTGACTCCGGGTAGAAGCCGAGCATGTTCCTGCGACTCGGAAAAGGTGTCACATGGGTTAAGGCGAGTTGCTCGCCTTAACCCACGTGATTTTTCCCGCAGGCTCACATGCGGGCTGAAGTTGTGAGAGGTATGTAGGGATGGGGAGGTCTGGGGAGTGGGGGAAGTCTGGGAAGGTGGTTCTGGGGTGTGGTTGGGTGCCCTGACAGCGGGGTCAGGGGCTGATCCCTGACAGAATCGCAAGAATGTCAGTGTGATTGTGACTGTCTGTGCAGATGGCACTTCAGTGCCTCTGGTTGTTATTTTTAAGGGGCAGAATGTTAATTCAAAGTGGTTGAAGGATAATCCTTTGCAGGCCATGTAAGTTACCCATTCATTACATGGAATGTGTGTTCATATTTTTGTGTTCTAGAGTCACTGTATCGGAAAAGGAGTGGACAGACAATGAGATTGGCTTAGACTGGCTTCAAACCTTGAATGAGTCTACACAACACAAGGCTGCTGGTGTCAGGGACTGCGTGTCAGTTCACGACGATAAAGGTGTTCCCGAGAATCCTAGTCGTTGTTAACGCTGAAGCGCCACCTTCAGCAGAGATAGGGCTTATATACATGGATACCGCTATCCACTAGAGTGCGGCTACAAACGAGATAAAGAACAGCCGATAGAATGATGACATGAAAAGATAACTATTCATTCAGGTAATCGTAAGCGAGGTGTGGGAAAGGGGTGACATGTGGACGGAAGATAGAAGCAGGATGCTAAGCGAGAGCTAAGCGAGATTACCTGCGTTCTTCGGATCACTCTGGATCGTCTGACGGCAACTCCCTTCTGGCATAGGGGGTCAGGGTAGCCGGTTAGGCCGTGCCCTGACAGCTGGCTGCTACCGTCTCCTGGTAGTGGATGGACATAACTCACATTACAGTCTGGACTTCATAACATATGCATGCAACCACAACATTGTTGTTATATGTTATCCTGCACACACAACACACGTTCTCCAGGGGCTTGATGTTGTTATATTCTCCCTCTTAAAGCGGGGCTTCTCAAAGGAGCACGACGCTTTTAATTTACGAAACTACCCAAGGAAGCTAAACAAATCCTCATTTCTATCAGTCTTCGGTCAAGCATGGACAGACACCATAACCCCAGCTCACATTATCACCAGCTTCCACGTAACTGGCATCTATCCAGTCAACCCAAGTGTCATCCACCCAGAACAACTTGCACCGAGTATTGAACATTCCACCCAAGGAGATCTTCCTCTCCCTGTGGCCTCACCTGTTAAGCACATTATGCACTTTCACAGTCAGCTGATGTCTCATAAATACCAATGGGAATGCACACCTTCACCAATGGACAACTTGCAGGATGTTGGAATGTACCTAGGTGGAAGTAATGTTCCAGACAATGAGGTTAGTGATGATGAGAGTGACCGACCAATCATCAATCGCACCTTGCTTGCTGTCTCTCAATCACAAACACCCCAACCCACAATCTCCATGCATCACCACAATCTTCTGGCACCGGGTGTACAATGTTCAGCACCGAGAATACCACCATCAGCCCCAATGAGACTCTTACCTTTCCCCCAGCTCATGCCCGAGCAAAGAAGCGTGCCATCAATGACCTAGAACATATTATGTCATTTTCTTCATCCACAAATTCCATTGTGTCCTCCTCACCTCTCCATTCAACATTCAAACTTCCTGAATGTGCATATGGCCAACTTAGTGATCTACTGTCATATCCATCCCCGGCCATCGACTTCTGGTCCCTCCATTCCCTCCGGTCTAACTCTGCTCCTCCTTCACTAACCTCGGAGCTCCCGTATTCCGCAATCCTCTCGGTACCCCTCGATGGTCACCACCCCCTCATTTCAATTTATTACCTATGCCTCCCTAAGTACGGAGCCCCGAAGACTTCCGGACAGCTCCGACGTCCGCTAGCGCACCCCCACCTCCGCTGGGCAATACAATCACCTGCCCTGCAGAGCCCACCTTCAGGCTTATCGCTTCTGGGTTATCGCCTGCCTTTCCGCTAACCCCGCAACCCGACTCGTCGGTAATATTCAGTCGGCTAATGTTTAACCCCGTTAGCTCCGCTCCGTTTGGCTCCACCAATTGCAGACCCGTCTTCGCTGTAACCATATATATATCCCGCTTGTACATAGGTTACACTCCAGTAATAAAATCAACTAGAGTTACCCCCCCTTAGGTTCTGATTGCCAGTCAGTAAGTTAGGGCACAGACATGTCACTAGGCACAGCGCTCTTGGCAGAAGTCGCTGAGGCCGAAGCCCTCCGCTATGGAGACACTCCCTCGTCTCGAATCTGGTCTCTGACATCTACCCCCAATTAAATGGGATCTCGCAGACAATTGTGACTCAGGATCCAAGACTTGCCTTGAATTAGTGCAAGAAAACCAAGAAATGCGGCATGAGTTTTGGAAGGCCCAAGTGTTGGTGGAGAGAGCTGTTGATGCAGTGGATGCGGCAAATGCCCAGTTGGCATTAGGGGGAATGTATGTGTCTAAAGCTCAGACACAGCTCTTAGCGCGGGAAGAAGCAGAGAAGTCGAAGGAGGATGGTGGATGCATTAAAGGGACATTTGGCCAAGTTGTGACACATGATGGTTTCTTGAGGGACCAAGCAGAGCACGCTCAGAGAAAATTAAATGAGCAAGAGTTGGAACGATGGAAGGAAGAGGCTAAGGAGCG